GGCCATTGCTCTTGACATTTCTAAAGCGTTTGATAAAGTTTGGCATGCTGGTCTTCTCCATAAGCTTTCTTCTTACGGTGTATCTGGAAACATCTTTAAGATTATTGAATCCTTCCTTTCTAATCATAGTTTAAAAGTTGTCCTTGATGGATAGCACTCTTCTTCTTATTCTGTAACCTCAGGAGTTCCTCAAGGTTCAATCCTTGGCCCTATACTCTTTTTAATTTACATTAACGATCTTCCAGATATTCTCACATCTAAGGTGGCATTGTTCACTGATGATACTACCATTTATTCTTGTCATGGTAAAAAGCCAATTTCCTCTGATTGCTTGCAGGGGGCATTTGAGCTTGAAAAGGATCTCACTTCTGCTACAGCATGGGGCTCACAGTGGCTGGTGAACTTTAATTCAGATAAGACTCAATTTTTTTCATCCAATCGTTATTGCAATAATTTAGACCTTCCTATATTTATGAACAGTAATGTGCTTGATGATTCATCTACCCTTCATCTTCTAGGATTAACTCTTACTTCTGATCTTTCTTGGAAACCTTATATCAAATCCATTGCAAAATTAGCATCTGCTAAAGTTGCATCTCTTTATCGTGCTCGACACTTTCTTACTCTGGATTCTATTCTCTATCTCTATAAATCTCAAATCCGGCCTTGTATGGAATACTGTTGCCATATCTGAGGCGGATCTTCTAATGATGCCCTTTCTCTTTTAGACAAGGTGCAAAAACGCATTGTAAACATAGTTGGACCTGCTCTTGCTGCCAACCTTTAACCATTATCACATCGTTGTTATGTTGCTTCTCTTTCTCTTTTCTACAAATACTATAATGGGCACTGATCTAAAGAACTCGCCTCTCTTGTGTCATCTACTAAAATTCATTCTCGTGTTACGCGTCATTCAATTAAGTCTCATCCTTTTTCTGTTACTGTTCCTAAGTGCTCCAAAAACTCTTATTCATCTAGTTTTTTTCCTCGAACTTCAGTTCTTTGGAGTTCGCTTCCTCCATCTTGCTTTTCTGATTCATATAATTTGCAATCTTTTAAGTCGTCTGTCAATCGTTATCTTGCTCTACAATTTTCATCTTTTCTCTTCCAGTAACTTTTAACAAATCAGTGGTTGCTTGCAGCCTTGTTGGAAGCAAAGATGTTAAAAAAAAAAAAAAAAATAGGGAGGTGAGTTTTTGAAAATAAAAAAAAATGATTGTACGCATTAATTATAAAAATTTAGTATTTTGATCCGTTTTTTTTAAAAAAAACCTGTAAAACCCCTTAAAAAAAAACCAATAAAACCCTTAAAAAAACATTTGGGTTGGGTTTTTTCCAACCTTGTCAGGTATCTGGGTGCAGATTCACAACACTTTTGTAAGTTCAAAATTTGTGTAAGTTTTGCTTAAGTTTAAAGTTATGCATAGTCATATTCACAAATCTTGCGTAACCAAAAACTTACAAAATTCTTTACAAAGTTTTTATGTAAATTATTACTTATGCAAAAAGTCTAAAAAACGGTATTCACAACATTTTCCTAAAAAGTGCTCAGCAAACTTTATGCAAGAAAAGTTATGTCTGCTATTTTTTGACTTAAATTTTAATCATCTAATATTAAAAATAATATTAAAAATGACGTTTTTATTATTGTAAAAGAATTCAGACTTTGTTTGTTATTGCCAATAAAATATAATTTTATATTAATTTTATACTGCTTTAGATTAAGTTATTTAAATAAACAACTATAACTTTTTTTTAACAACAACTTTTTTTAAACAACAACAACAATATATATTTACCAAAAATATAAATGTACTACATAAACTTGTTTTATAAAATTTGTTTTCACCTTAAATTTATTCTTAAAAGTATATACATACCATCTATATAATAGAAGGTTAACTCTTTTATAACCTAGCTAAAAAAAGGAGAGCAATCATAGTATGGATATATCATAGTTTTGTAGTATGCCAATAACTTGTTAAATAAGTTAACTTAATAACTAGTTATTGTGATACTTCAAAACTATATGATGTATCCATACTATATTAACTTATGGTTGTATCTATACTATACTATCTATACTATACTATACTATACAAAAATGTGTACAATATTATTGAAGTATATACTTTAACTTGCATAACTAGCATAAAGAGGAGAGAGTTTCTCTCTCTCTCTCTCTGTGAGAGAGAGGAATTATGTGTGCTAATATAGATATAATATTGCAAATAATAAACATATTCTGTAATAGTTTAAATTGTTTTGGTAGATCTTTTATTTTGTATTTCTATATAAAATCTCATTGTTGTAGTTTGTTATTGCAAAGAGCAGGTATTCCATAAAAAATTCCTTGATATACCAGTTAGTCCAAATGGAGTGATAGTGTTTTTCACAATTCAGTAGAATTTTTATTTGTTGCTGTTGAAAACAGTATTAAAATTCTTAAGATGACAGCACATTATTCACTCTGGTTGTAGCTATTAGATTGTATTTGGTGTCTTGAAAATTTTAGATTGTACTGCGTTTGGTGTCTTGAAAACTACAATACTTGTTGTTGTGATTTAATCAATACTTGCTCTGTCTCGATGAGTCAAACCTTTCTATAGTGCACATGCCTGATTCACAGAATTAACTTTACTCATCAAATATAAGAATTATATTTTTATTCGTGCAAAAATAGTACCATAAATTCTCAATGTGAAATATCACTGAAAAAAATTAATAAAAAACAAGCGGATTTTAATTCAAACTCAACTTTTATTAATTATGTTAATAAAACTAAAATTGTTTGCATCAAAGTTACAAAGATAGATTTATATCAACTAGATAGTCAGACAGCAATAATGTATTTATCATAATATTTTATGGAAAAGTTGTTAAACTTTTTTTTATGTTTTCAAAATGCTCCTTATATTTCTGACAATTTGAATTTTGTTTACAAATAGTTTCAAATAAAATAGAATGCAATCAATAGTATTTCTTGAATTTATTAAAGTAATTTCTTTATTTAATGAAACTGTCACTCCCTATAGCAAATAAAAGTGTTTTTATTCAAGTCAATTATGTAATAAAACAAGACCACTGAAAATTATCATGTTTTCTTATACACATGATTAAGAGATGTGACAATCTTAAAACAAGGAGTTAAAACAAAATACTTTAGTTTAGCAATTCCATTGTTTTATGAATGTGAAATTTTTTTTAAGTAATTTATTTTAACTTCCTGAAGCTATGCAAGACAAGTTGCATGATCTGAACAGGGGTGAACCCAGACATTTTTTGGTACTATAGGACCGGTATGGGCGCCAAAAAATTTAATTTTTTGTTGTTTTTCTTTCTCTTTATATATTTAAAATTAAAAAAAAAGTTCTTTCAAATGCAATAAAAGTTTTCTGTATATTTTAGCTACTTTATTTAGCCAGTGATGTTTACAAATAAGGTTCACGGCAGGGTTAGGGTTTTATAAATTGCATCAAAATGGTATCCCATAAATAAACTCTAGGCCCATCACTGCTGCGAAAGAATAAGGAAAAAACAGAAACTAAAATTAATAGATTTTTTAACTATTCAAATAATTATAATATATAATTCAAAAATTATAGTATTAAAAAAACTGTAGTATACAATTATTCGAGTAATTTTAATAAAACCAATGAGCATTCACTGATTGCATCAGTGAAATTCAATGGGCATTCACTGATGCCATCGGTGAATGCCCATTGAACAGGAAGCTAAATAGTTATCTTATATAAACCCAGGATAATACAATTTATATTACCCATTTGGATTTGGTTAAATATGCCCCAATTAGTTTTTATTGAGTGCTTGTAATGTTTTTATTTAAAATAATAGATGTGTATCATTTTGGTAATAATTAATATCTCATTTAAAAAACCAACCAACTCTAATTTGGTCAATTATTATTCCAATTTTCGATTATTGATTATTTTGATTATTTTGCTAATAGATACTCAAAATATAGTGAAAGAATGTTTGTGGTATATATGATATTTCTTTTAAAACTAATTGCACGTATATGCTATATGGAACTATTCAAGTAATACGAGACAGCTTTTTTGCTGTTTTTAGACTTCCCCCCCCCCCCCCCCTCTTTGTATATATGACATTTTAAGCAATCCCTCCCTGCCCATTCGTGACGTGACATTTTTAAACAAATAAAGCTTTGAGTTTGTAATTTTTGCTATTCTGCTGTGATAAGAATTTAAATTTAAAAAATTTGGTTATGTCCCACTGTGGCTTACCACCCCTCTCCCATGCGATATTTAGTGACACTTTCAAACACCCCCTATCTAAGAATGTCAGGTATTATTTGAATAGCCCCTATATGCTTTTGCTATATTTCTAAATATAGCAACAACAAAAAAACATGATTTAAGTCTAAGTAAATGTAATTCCTTTAAATGCCTTTGAAAAATGCCTTTAAAAAAATGCATACATTTTTCAGTCCCTATATGTCTTAATAAAAAAAGAATTAGTAATACTAGCTACTTCCATTATACAAAGAGTTATAAAATATTTGCCTCAAATTTTGCTAGGTTTTTCCTAAGTTTTGCATAACTCATGCACAACCTTAACTTTACACAAATGCTGCGAAAAAGTTGTGAATACCAAATAGTTACGCAAAAAATAATTTTGTAGGTTTTTTGTAACTTTTGCTAAGCTACGCAAAAGTTGTGAATAAGCACCCTGTATATAGTGAGTTTCAGATGAAAAAATTCTTCATATTAATCTATCATAAGGTATTTTATTTTATAAGGTATTTTATAAAAAGTATTTTCAAATTTATTAGAGCTGTTAACATAATTAATTTGGTTTGAGTTTAGTTTTGAGTTAATATCATTTTAGTTTTTCAAAATTATATTTTAATTAAATTGATACTTTAAATGTACTTTTGGTTTTTCACACTTTGTACTTTTTGGTTTTTTTTGGTTTTTGTTGTTTTTGTTTTAATACTCTAATTCATAATTTTATCTTAGACGATTGGTTACAGCTGTTTACCTTCAGCAAAAGATAGTGATGGTTTTGTTTCACTTGATTTAAAACACAAAGAGGATTATGTAAAGCAAAATCAGACACAACTAGTAGATTCTATACACAAAATTTTAGGTAGTCAGACAACACTATCTGTGTGTGTTGAAAGTGTGAGAAGCTTACCTGGAGACAAGTAAACATTTGTCAGAGATTAGTTTTGTTGTTTTTTAATATTTTGAATGATTTTGTGCTGTTTATTATTTGTTATTTTAAAATTTTAATTTTAAGTTTTTGTTTTTATTTTTATGTTTTTTTTTTTTTGCTTCTAATACTTTTTGCATGAACTGAAATAAAAATCAGCTTTTATTATTTTATTTTTTATTATTTTATTATTTTTTATTATTATATTATTTTATTTTTACTACTTTAAATCAGCATTTATTAATATTTCTTTAGTATTTTTTTTTTTTAAATCTATCTTTATATACCAAGTCTATTTCAAGCTAAAGTTATTGTCTTCTTTTAATGATTTTTATTTTCTTTTACACCAAGTGTTTGCTTCATCACATTGTTGTTAGCAACTTTACTTACTTTCTCTTGCTTTCTAAATGTTATCATAGTTGCTTTTACACTTTCTATACCTTCTTTTTACCTTCTTTTATACCTTTATTTATACCTTCTTTTATACCTTCTTTTGTCTTATCTATGAAAAAACTCATGTGACTGAGTTGCATTTTTTAAGTGATTTATGAAACTTTCACATCTGTAATTAATTATTTGCTGATGCTTAAGAGGAAAATAAATTAATCTTGTGTTTGATCCTGTTGACTCTGTAAATCAGAGAATGAGATAGGAAATGGGTCTGTCACAATAGTAATACAAACTGAGGCTTGTATTACACAACACAAGTCAGTTATTTGTAACATAAAATCATGGCTTTCCCCTTGAGAGGAAATTCTATTAAATTAGTGCATAATCCCAAAAAAGGAAATTAAATTCTTGTAAGTAAGTTTAAATTTTAGAAATTAAAAAAGTGTGATGTAGCTAATTTTTTTGAAAAGAGCATTTAACAAAAGATAAAATTCAGACCCAAAGAAAATGTAAAAAAAATATGTGGAAAATGTAATTCAAAACATTCTTGAAGCATGTGATCAAATATGTTATATGGAAGAACAAACGGTCCTTAGAAACAAAGAAACATAATGGTGAATAAATAGTGTTTAAATGCAGAAGTTGGTAAGTTATACTGGGTGTCCACTCAGCTGGAAAAACTGGAATAAATGTAAAGGGCTGTTTTTAAAAAACACGATGAAAAACCAGAAAATGATTTTTTGCACATCATTTAATCAATGATGCACAAAAAATACTTTTTTTTCAGTTTTTTTAGCATGCTTTTCAAAAATAGTCTTTTCTAGTTCTTTCAGTTTTTCCAGCAGAGAGGGCACCTAGAAAAAAAGAAGAAATGTTATAACAAGTGTAAAAAGAAAATGCAATTCAAAACAAACCATAACTGTTGTTAGAACCAACTTTCAACTCTTTAACTCTAAAATATGAGCCTTGACAAACAAGGCCACTGTGCAGAATAACAAGTAGTGATACCACTAGGGACATGTTGAGAATTAAACTTGGAATTTCTTACTTACAAAGCAAGGGCTCAACCACTAAACAACTAATGCATTAACGAATCTCATAAATGGAAGCTGATGGATGGATGATGATGCTTGGTTCTGAGGACTAAAAAGATACATTGTTTTGTGTTATAAAGTAAATGAAAAACAGGTTGTTAGAGAAAACTATATTAAAAGATTAGATGGAAAATTATTTACGAATGAATTTGAGGTAAAAAAAAAGTGAACAGTTTGAAAAATTACTAAATGAAGAGTTTAATTGGAACAATAAAGGTTTATCTGCAATAAATGTTTATCTGCAATAAATGTTAAATTTTAATAGACCATATAAACTGGAGTAAAGTAAAATCAGCTGTTCAGAAGACTAAGTTAGGTCAAGTGGTAGTCAAGGCGCTTTTAGTATTGTTGGTTTTGAGTTGAGGTAAATACAAATAATTCAAGAAAGTTATTGAAACAAATAGTGGTAGAAAGGTATAGTGTTTTAGTAACTTTTGTTATCTCAGAAATACAATTGGATCAGATGGTGAATCAAAAGAGTATACTGTCAAGGCTAAAGTGTACCTAGGCCAAGAGAATTATCTCCACTTCTAACATGCATAATGAGATCTAAAAAGAATAGAAACATCTTTTCTTATCTTTTGATCAGATTGGAATAGTGAGTGTATCTGATAGGGTGTGTCAGGGAAAATTAAGGTGGTTTGTACATGTAGAGTATAAAGATCTAAATGATTGGGTATCAGTGCGTAAAAAGTTAGTTTTAGGTGAATTAAACAGAAGTAGGAAAACTCTGACACTTGGAATATGTTACAGATGGTGTAAACAAACTTCAGTTAAGAAAGAAGATGCTTAAAATTGTGTGTATTGAAGAAATGTTAGTATGAGAAATATCCATCTGGTACAATCGCAGAACTGATGATGATAATAAAGATTTTTTAGCTAACAAGAATGTTACATGTGTTTTAGTTAATAATTCAATTTTAATTGCTTATATAAATTAATTTTTTTTAAGGTCTGAAGTGATTATATTTGTGGTAGAACGTCAGTCTAATGGCGCTTCTAGGAGAATACTGGCTACAGAACTTTATGCTGTTTTTAGTCAGGATAATTTAAAGGTATTTATATTTAAACTAAGAATGAATAAAACTTATAAGTAAAAAAGTTTTCTTTCCTTTTTTTTTTTCTTTTTTTTACATGCTGTAACCTTAACACACTTTAGTTTTTTTTATGAGTTTAAAATGTTTTTTTTATTGTTATTTATATTTTTGAAATTGTTATTAGAAAAAAAATTTAAAAACATTAATTTATAGAAACAACTTGAAGCAATAGGCGTTGAAAATATGGTAGCAAAAACAGCTTTGAATGAATCACAGCTTAAGCAGTTTCTTGATAACCCCCCACTTGGTGAGTTAAGCTCTTAAAATATTTTCATTAATTTCTTAAAGACACTCTAAGCCATACAAGGATTTGAACTTTGGATCCTCAAAAACTACCATGATTATTTCTTAGAATTTAATTTTAGTTTTTTAGATTTCTTCTTCAATTTTGTGTAATTAGTTCAAGGCTCAAATTAAATGATCGCGAATTGGTGGAATTTGTATCTACACAAAAAGATTTTATAACTTTTTCAAATTAACTCTATTAAACTATGTTATCCAGATATAGAACAAATATGGTGCGGACTCAAATATGAATTTGAAAAAATATTGGTTGTGTCTACAGATCTCCTAACTCAGCAAACAATTTAAACCTTTGTAAATCTATTCTAGCGGCTAAACGTGTTTACAATAATAGTGCTTTTACAAGTTTTTTGTTGACCGGAGACTTTAATTATCCAAATATGAAATGGGTTGATGATATCTTCATTGGTACATGTTCAGATCTAAATAATTCAGAATTTCACTTCACAGAAACTATAAACGACTACTTTTTGTCACAAAATGTATTTTTTCCAACATTTCAAAAAACGGATAAAGAGTCGACTAACATTCTTGATCTTATATTTACAGAAAATTCAAATCGTAATTCTGACCTTACATTAAATCCTCCTTTAGGTAATATTGTCCATGCACATATGGTATTGACTTGGAACTATTTGATAAGCGCTAATAATATTAATAAAAAATTTATTTAAAGTTATATATATATATAAAAAAGGTGATTATGTTAAAATGATAAAATGTTTTAATTCAATTAATTGGAAAGCAGTATTTGGGGATAGAAATATCAATCAGTATTATGACAAATTTTCAGAATTATATACGGTGGCCTGTAACAAGTTTATCCCTCGTTCTAAAAAAAACGGACAACCATGACAAGCTTGGATTACATCTGATATAAAGCAAATAATTAATGAAAATCAGGCAGAAATAATCTCGAATTATTAGCAAAATATAAACTTGTTAAAACTAAGACTCAATATTCTATTAAGTTAGCTTTGAAACAATTTGAACTTGACTTAGCTAAAAGTTCTAAATCAGATCTTAAGAGATTTTATGCATACGTGAACAGCAAACAAAAGTATAAAGAAGGAATTGGTACTTTGGTTTCCAGATGAAACTGTGAGTGATAACCTTTTAGATATTACAAATTTGTGAAACACATATTTTCAGTCTGTATTTACTGAAGACGATAACAAAGCCTTACCGAGTTTTGATCCTGTTATTCATGTCCACTGTGAAAATGATATAAGCAAAATAATCAGTTCGAAAGAAATTCTTGTACAGTTAAATTCATTGGATAAATACAAATCTTGTGGGAACGATGGAGTCCATCCGTATGTATTGAGCACCTGTTTTTTAAGTCTGAGTATTCCTATTGAATATATTTTCATTTAAATCGGGAGTAGTACTAAAAGCTTGAAAAAAACTTAGTTCCGATTTTTAAAAATTTCAATAAGCTTGCTTCCAACTATAGATCTGTTTCTCTCACATGCAAAATATATGCAAAATTTCAGAAAGTTATATGCAAAATTTCAGAAAGGATATTAAAAAAAACCATCATTTGGCATCTTTTAGATAGTTTGATAAACAAGAATCAGCATGGTTTTTTTACCTGGTAAATCTTGCTTTACAAATTTACTTGAAAGCCAAGGTATTTTAAATCTAGCAGTAGATCAAGATTATCCTATTGAGATTCTTTTTACTGACTTTTCTAAAGCATTTGACAGAGTTCACCATAGAAACTTATATTAAAAATTGAAATGTACGGTATATAGAGATTCATTATTAAATGAATTGAGTCTTTTTTATCAAATAGAAGACAAAGAGTTGTTCTTGAAGACATTGCTTCTACGTGGCTTATTGTTTTAAGTGTTGCACCACAAGGATCTGTTCTGGGACCAATTTTGTTTTTAGTTTATATTAATGACCTTCCAGATAAATATAGAAAAATGTAAAATAATGCATATCAATAAAAGTAATAAATTAAATAAAAATATCAATAAATATTACATTTCTGATTATCAGTGGACTGTGTAAATGATCTTGGTATCATGTTTAAAAACAATCTGAAATATGGTCATCATATATCTGCATGTGTTTCTAAAGCAAATAGAATTTTAGGTCTTATCTGACACACAATTTCATTTTTAAATGCTGATATACTTAAATTGTTATATATTTGGCTAATACGCCCTCATCTAGCGTCTTCTATTTGGAATCCATTTTTAAAAAAAGACATTAATCTTATTGAAGGAGTACAACAGAGCAACAAGACTAATTCCAAGGGGACGACTGAGTAAGGGAATTTATGCCTATTTGCACTTATGCCAGTTCGCACTTATGCCAGTTTTTGTAACTGCTTCGCACTTATGCCAGTTCGCACTTGTGCCAGTTCACACTTTTGCTAGTTTTTGTGACTGATTCGCACTTATCCCAGTTTGCACTTATGCCAATTCGCACTTATGCCAATGTTTGCAAAATGTTTTGGTGCACTTATGCAAATTCGCACATATGAATAAATAAATTATTATTTTTATTATTAAAAATAAGGACTTAAACTTTAATATTTTAATTTGTTTTATAAATCATTAGATAAAAGTAGAAAAATAAAGCATTATATAAATCATTAGATTATTATTATATAAATCTTATTCAATATTTACTTATAAATTAAATGCTTGAAACTCTTTAGCAGATATGTACATAAAATATAGGACAGAGGAGATCAAAAATATATAAAAACTAATTTAAGCTTTTTATAGTTGTTTTAAAACAAATAAAAAAACTCTAAAAAATTATTTAAAAATATATCTTTTATTATTATTTTTGTTATAAATAACTTATTTTAATTTAAGACATTTAAATTATCAGTAAATGATAGTTTAAATGTTAATTTAAATCCTCGAAGTTTCCCTCTAAAATTGATTTTAATGTTATGCAATCATACAACACGCAAATAACTTGAGTATAATTTTTAATTGGTTGATTTTTAATTTACTGTGCAAATTTCGGACCTTTAGTAATTATAATTTTTTTCTTATAATTTTTTTTTAAGTTATAATCCTTAAATTACCTGGTTTTAAACAAATAATAATTTAAAGTATATAAGTTTTGACTGTTATTATTTTTGTAGTATTAAATTTATTTTTGGTTTTTTCATTAATTTTTGCAATGATGAATTGACCATTTCATTAAAACAGTATTCACGGTTTTTAATAAGCCAAGAATTCGATCACCAGAAATATTTCCAAAAATCGCAATTTGCTATCACTTAATTTAAGTCTTGTAATTATGCATTTATATTTAAAATTGTTATTTTATTAAGCTTTATATTTATAGGAGTTGATTTGATACTTTGGGAACAAGCTAAAAAAGATAATCCTGATCCTAAAAGGTATTGATTTTTATATTTTAAAGTATAAAATGTTACATTTTAAAATTATTTTTATTAAAAAAACTTTTCTGTTGTCAAAACTTGATTTAATTGTATAAGGTGTAAGCTTAACTATTGGGTAAACTTTTAATTATAAAAAACACTGCAAAAAAAGTGTCTGAAATATTTAAACAAATTTACTTAAAATTGTCAAATTGAAATTAAAGTCATTTTGTTTTGCCAAAAACTTTTATAAACTTATTAAGTTTTTTTTCATGTTTGTTATTGTAATTTGTTTTGGATAGAAAAAATGTAATTTGTTTTGGATTGGAAAAAAAAAAAGATTTATTAGAGTTTTGTTAAATTCAACATTTTTGCTACAGGAAACTACTTTTAAATTGCTTATCAATAAAATATCTTAAATTTGCTCATTTTAAATATCATTATTCTTTAATAATATAAGTATGATTTATACGCACTTAAAAAATTGAACCTTCTCTTAAAAAGAATGCTCCCAAAAATGTCAAGAGTTGTTTAACATTTATAAATTTAGTTAATCACATGATCTGTTCTGTTTTTAATTAGTAATTTAAATGTGAAGCCATGGTGTATTCTCTTTCCTATGGAAGGTATTTTTAAAAAATTGTGTAGATATTAATGATAACCACTATAATTATGCCCTAATGATGCAGTCAGAAAATAAGTTTTGTACTTATTTGTTTTTTAAAGAAAGAAAGTGATACCATTAGTTAAGTGAATTAAGTTTATAAATTTAATCAAAAAATAATAATTTTCTTTAATTCTTTAATTAATAAGCACATTAGTTGCACATTCTTCTTTTTTTTTAGTTTTTAGTTTTGAGTTTTAATCTTTACTTTTCAGTAAAAATCAAACTTTATTTAAAAACTTTGGCATATAAAACTTGCTGAATGGTCACACACGAGCAGTGAACGCCTGAGGGAAGAAATGAAGCACATTAGAATAAAGGATAATTATTTATTAGACAAAGCATATTTTGACAGTTGTCAAGATAAAAATAATGATTAATATAGGAATATTTAAAAATAAATAAGACAGGCTATACACCTAAAACAGTACTCAACAATAATAACAATAAAAAATAAATAAATAAATAATTTGTTTTTTAAATGCCAATATGAACATTTAAAAATAATAAAAATGTAAGCGGCATATATACAACAAATACATCACCAGACAAAAACTTATAAAACAAAAAACCGATCACAAAATAAAAAATATGCTATCAACAATGAAAGGCCTAATAATGGAAAAAAAACATTAATGCTAATGTGTAAACATAATTTGTGTAGTGATTAAGTAATAAACATTTATAACTAGTTTATCCCCTCAGACAAACGTCATCGCCACTTGTGCTTTACTCCGCGACTTACGTCTATTCCTTACTGCAGCAAAAAAGGACTCACTACAAATAGCCAAAAAAAAATTCTTTTCTATAGGAACAGCATGAAAGATTATAGTATTTAGGCTTTTTTATAATTTGTACAGTGGCTTGTGTTAAACCTTAATTAATAAGCACATTAGTTGCACATTCTTTTTTTTTAGTTTTTAGTTTTGAGTTTTAATCTTTACTTTTCAGTAAAAATCAAACTTTACACTATTTTTTACTTTCAGTAAAAAACAGTGTAACATTAACTAAACAGTTCTAAAATTGCTAACCTTTTTTCTTTGTAATTCTGAGGGTTGAAAATGGGATTAAAAGCCACAGGTAAACACAATGGTTAAAGTTTAAACAAAACAAGTGTAAAAAACTTAAACTAAGACTTCAGACTATAGAACAACCATAGTTATAATATAGTTGGAAATATAGACAGAACACTACCTTGGACTAACATCAGAACAATATTGTAATCGTTGAGCCAATGTTGCCCGAATTTGTTGTGGTGCTTGGGAAGACACTTAATGTAATATGGATTGTAGAGCAATTTATTTATTTATTTTTGATTATAAAACAGTTTGTTATTATTTAATTATGGAATTGCAAACAAGTATATATATAAATAAGTGTATACATGAATTGTTTTTTTTTTTTTTTATTACTATGTTTTTTTTTTTTGATTTGCAGGTTAATTCCTGTGCCAATGATGGGATTTGATGAACTCCGTAAGCGTTTAGATCACCAAAAATATCAAAACATTCAACATCAGAAACGTTTAGATGTATCATATTTTTATTTTATATAAAATAAATTATTATATTATTTTTTGTAGAAAATAAAAATTGTAATGTAAATATAATTAAATTACACACACTAGTGTAAAGTTATTTAGTATATAAACTATTTTTAATATATATACATTTATATACCTAGTGGTACCAATTGAAGTGCGAAATTTTAATTCAGTAAAAAAATTTAAGAGAACATGTTTTTAATGCAAGAACAAATGTAATATAAATATTATATGCATGTTATGTTTTAGTTAAAATGCTAAAGTACACATTAATAAAGATAGTCCTCGAAATATCCCCCTTTTGCCTGTATGCACGCCTCCAGTCTTGGACGCCATTCCTCGATTGATGTACGCAAGGTATCCATGGATAAAGCATCCCATTCTCTGAGAAGTGATTGCTTGAGGGCATAACGTTTTTTGACAGAACCACTATCATTATATCGCGTAATAGTACGTTAGACAAAATCTTTTGATATTCCTTTATGCTGCAGCATTTTGAAAATCTGATACGGTTTTCTCTTCCCGTCTAATAATGTTATAACTGCACACCCCTTTCCTTCCATACTATCCATTATAAAAAAATCTACAAATAAACACACAAATAAATTAATAAATTCCAGGAATCTATTCAAACAATACAAATAAATGCGGGAACTATATAAAAAGCACATGCCTGTTAACATGACAAGTTTAAACAAACTTCGCACTTCAATTGGTACTACAGGGTATATATATATATATATATATATATATATATATATATATATATATATATATATATATATATATATATATATATATATATGTGTATATATATATGTATATATATATATATATATATATATACACATATATATATACTATAATGTATTTATTAAACAAATTTTTACCCTATTTTTGTTACATTAATTACTAATGAATTTTATATCATGGAAAATAATATTAAATTTAATATTATGTTTTTAAATTTTCATTTTTAGCTTATATCTGATGAGATCAGCAAGTTACAAACAGCCCACTCGACAACTGTTGCTAAACTTGCTCAATACAAACGAAAGCATTTAGAACTTGGTCACAGAACCCTCGAGGTATATACTTCATTTCAATGTTTTGCAATTTTTCAAAACTTTTAACTCATAAACTTCAATGGTAAGCAAAAAATCTTTTCTTTTGGTAGAGTTTTTACTGTATTCTTATTCAATTTTTTTATAATTTTTTTAAATTAATTTTTTTGAATTTTATTTTTAGGTGATGATATATCAAGAGACTGTGCGTAAAATGGGCTTTGCAATTGAGCCAGAGGAAGAACATTTAAGGTAAATACTTTTTTTTTGTCAGTAAGTATATAAACAGATTAAAAAAAAAGTTACAGATTATAAATTTTGCATAAAAATTTTATATCAAAAGCATTTCCCTCATTTCACTTTAGGACCCATTTTATGATGTGATTTTATGAATTTTTTTGTTTCTACGGTCAGTTTATCTATTAACTATGTTAAAGTAAATTAAATTAAAAGTAAATTAAGTTAAAAGTAAATTAAATTATATTAAAAAATATTAAATAATAGTTTTTCCCGAATGGAACAAAAATAGTTAAAACTAATTGAACAAAAATAGTTAAAACTGATCGAACAAAAATAGCGCAATTGGAAATTCAAAAATTCAATATAGTATTGAGTTTTTGAATTTCCAAAATTTTTTTGTTTAATTAGTTTTTTTTTGTTATTCCAATATTATTTTGGAATAACACAATGTTGTAATAGGCGATGAAACAGTTAGTGCATTTAAAGATTTTAATGTGTGTTATTCACAGTTATGCATTAAGTAAATTTGTTATGTTTAATAAAAAAAAATTAAAAAAATTAGAAATACTGATTATCTTATTAATTTAGAAGTTCTAAATTCTTATTAAAAAGAGTTTTTTTTTAATTTTAAAGGATGTCAAAAAAGATTAAACAAGATGACATTAAAAGTAAGCAATAAAAGCTTATCTGAGTTATCTCTACATAAATATATCTAAAACAGAAGAAGACTTTGGTTTAGATTCACAAACGGTCTTGTATCAGCACAATAATGAAATCAAATAAAATTGTAATTTAACTGGATCCAGATAGGTAGAAGAAACTTCAGAAGTCACTAAAAACCATAATATTTAAAGTTGAATCTTTTATTTTTTCTCTAAATTCCTTAAAGATGAAATACTGTTTATAATAAGTATGTTTATTGAAAAAGGCAGTTCAAACCAAAAATAAGGCCTAAAGGAGATAAGTAGAATAATTATCTTGTAAACAAAAAAATTCTTTTAGCTGCTAATAATTTTAATAAAACTAGAAAATGAAGAGAATAAAGGAGAAAATAAATGAAAATTAAGAAAATAATTGTTAAGTAGTATGACTACTGTGATTTTCAAAAAATTATTTAAATAACTTTAACATATATTGTTTAATATTTATAATTTAGTTAAAGTTATTTTTACAAGAGTAAATTAAAGTGGTCTTCGAACTTTTATTTTTTTCATTGCATTTTATTTTTACAAAATTCACTGGTTTTACATCATCTGTCGCATCTTTAAATATAAGTGTTAAAGGAGCTACACACTACACTTCTACACATTACATAATCAATTTTTGATTGCTATTTAAAGTAACCTAGAAAGCTTAACAATTTTTAGTTGTTGCGGTTAGCGGCGGATTTTGACTTGAACTGCCACAAAGATAATAGCTAAAACCCCCATAAAACACACCAAAGTCACATGGTTGGTGACATTAACTGTATCTTGCACATTCTTATAACAAAATATTTGGATTTCAAAAATATAAAAATATCTAAAATAACGGTTCAAAAAATTTTAAATTTCTGTAGCATCATTCCTACTAATACCTTCCATTCATAAGCAGACTAGATTTAGCATTTAATCCCTCCTCTCTTTTTGTATGCAATGCATATTGCTTACATATTATGCATATTGCTTACATATTGTGCAACATAATATCTAAGCAATGACTAATATCACTTAATCTAGTAATCAAATGACTATTATCCACTTATTTGCAAAGCATCAAATAGTCGCATGCTTACATATCAGTTTTTCAACTTGTTAAGAAAACATATACTTACATATTAGTTCTTTAATTTGTTAAGTAAACAGGTTTGAATAATTTGCCTATCGATTTAAAAATGCTTTCACTTAGCACACCAATATTATTTTCGTTTGTATTAGTTCTCTTTGTATTTTCTTTTTTTTTTTTTTTTTTTTGTATTTTACCTTTCTTTTTGTATTCTACTGCTCACTGTCTACTTTTTTTTTGTATTCTACTGTTGTTTTTTTTGTATTCTACTGCTCACTGTCTACTGGTCTTTTTTTAATATTGTTTCTGATAAAATTGACCAAATTCTATCATTTTGTCAATATTGCAGGTATACTCTTTCCCTGTTGTTATTATTGTTAACTTTACGCTCATTATATTTGATAAAATGATTAGGTGGCTTTAAAAAAAACTCAGACCTAAATCTGTAATATTTTATTTAGATAAGAACTATTATTTCATCTTCATAATCTTTTTATTTTATATCTTTGCTTTTGCTCATTAATTTTTATCATATCTGTCTTAAGTCAATGCTCGGTTTCTTTTCATTCTCCATTTGATAAAAATCTAAAAATACTACAACAATCATCTACAACAATTAAAAAAAAACTTTACTCAAAACATGAAACAAATTTCAACTTTCAACTTTAAAACATAAAACAAATTTCAAATTTCAACTTTCAACTTTTCTGCAAACATAAGTACTTTCAGTCATGCTTTTTTGAGTCATTTAATTGTTTTTTTCAGTTTAAATCTGCTGCTATTTGTTTTTTTTTAGTTCTTTGTTTCTTTGTTTTTCGTTTTCTTGCTATTTTCCTAGCAACTCACAACTAGGGTTGAGCTTTTACCAAAAATTTACCAGGTAAATTGGTAAATTTGTTTTACCAATTACCGGTAAAATTATGTTGGTAAATTTGATACATAACAATTATTACAATATTATACTTTAAATTTAAAAAATTCATTCGAAACCCCCAATTTTTTTTCTACATTTGTAAAAAAGTTTGCAAATGGCGTGAGAAATGACCTAAAAAACACTTTTAAATCTTTAGTGAGCAATGGAAAACGCTCTTCATCTTCACTAAATGAGTACACTTCTTTAAAAAATTAAAAGTACATGAACATTAATATTCATCAAAAGTACATATACTGAAAACTGGGCTTGACTCAAATTTCTAGACCTCTGCCTGCTGAAAAAGTTGCAGCAGTTGTCACAGAAAAAGTGTCCAAATTTGAATTAAACATTGGTGATTGTCTGCTCAGTTACAGTAACAAGCAACAAAGATGAAGTCAGCAGTGACGAATCTAAATCAACACCGAGGTCAGTTTTCTTGATGCTGCCATGGATGAAAATTTTCCCATTCCAAACGTGAAAGTGCACTTGCAATCTTTCATCACAAAAGTCAGAAATCAAAAAGAAATCAAGAAACAGCATGAAAAATAGTCAACTAGAATAGTCTACTGTTGATGATTCATACGCTACTCAAAGTTAAAGATTTAATCAGAAAAGTATTGAAATATGTTTCTTCGCATTTGACAGTGATGATGAAGCAAACATTTTATATGACATTGTTGGTGATTCCATAACCGACAGGATGCAACTCTTTTTACTGCTGAGGGAATTTTTAAGTTTCTTGTGAACAGACTGAAACCACAAGATTGAACTCTTTGAATTGCAATAAAGAGGGCAGTTTTAAGATATTTTGAAGAGAGTCTCTCCAGAATATTTAACTGACATTAAAGAACATGAAGTTTTTTAAAATCCCTTCGAAGTCTGTATTGACAAAAGATTGACAAATATTTGCTGTCTATGCTTTTCCCAACAAAACCAGATGACTTTGAATTTATTGAAGAAGTGTGGAGCTCAATAAGTTTTAACAAAAATCCACTTTCACTTAAAGATAAAGTTGAAGAAACAATTCAGTATTTGGCAAAAAAATAACGCCATATTTCAACAACAAATTCAAAGCCAATTCAAAAGAAATGTTGGTCTATGAAGCTACTGGAAAAAGAACTTCCAATCTAGAACTTTTGTTCAATGCACTAGAAACTACACTTTGTTTCCTCAAAGCTCATTTTTTATTAATACAACAAATATAAATAAAGATATTAGATCTAAATCTTATAAAGACTTTATTTTGAAACAAAATAAAATTTTATATGAGTTTCTATGATTTTTTTATTTTTTTACCGCTTTTACCAATACTTACCAGTAAATTATGCTTACCGGTAAATTTAAAAGTTGGTAAAACCTCAACCCTACTTACAACTTAAAAAGAGTCACCTGCAGGATTACTAGGAGTGAGTTTGTAAAAAAATGTTTTAATGACATTTTTGCAGCACTAGAATTTTTAATAGGCTAATTAGATATAAAAACATAAAAGCTGTTATGTAGTTTACAAATTTTTGACCATCATCAGACATGAAGAAAAACAAAAAAAAAAAAGAAAGAAAAAAAAAGTAAAAAAAAATCATTAAAAAAAAATCAAAAAAAGAAAAACTGAAAAAAGTGAAAATTATTTAAAGTGGTGGAAAGTGTTTTATCTTGTGATGTTTGACCAAAGTTATTTTTTAAGGATACTTTGTTTTTAATGGTAGTTAAAATTAATTACAATCACTATGGCAACTAATCAAGTATGCAGGGCCACTCCTTATATTGAAAGCTTTGAAAACTAATTACCAAATTATTTGGTAATAATTTTGAAATATTGTTACACAGGATTGCCTTTTTTGGAGGCATCAATAATTGAATTAGTGTTTTTTAGAAAGCTTGCTCAAGAAGCTTTGATTACATCCGCCCTTTTAAAAAACAAATTCAATTATTGTTAGTGTCTAGAGTAGCCTGTTATAACGAGCTTGGCAAGTGATGGTTTTCTTAAAAATTGTTTATGATGGTAAGAAACTTTCTTTACCGCTATTCTTTACTGAAAACGAATTTAAAAAAAAAACGGTTGCAAAATTTCTCTCAAGTTACTCAAGTTACAACTATTAGAGTTTGCTTGAAATTTTTTATTTGATAAATCTTATTGATTTATTAAATAAAACTTAATTTTTTTGTTCTTTAGAATTCAGTTAGAATCGTTGCAAGCCGAGCTAAATTCTCCTATGCAATTCAAGGTTGTTAAATTTTGATTTTCAATTTGTATGTCAAAGAAGAAGTAAATTAAATTGAAAGAGAACCTTTTGATTAAAATTTTCTTTTCGTTTTGTTGATGCTAAAAAAGATTTAATGTAGTATAGTTTTGACTGATTCAAAATTTATGTAAAATTTTAAAAATTATTTTTATGTATATCTTGTAACATGTTTGTTTACATGTATTTTAATTTTCTAGGGACGCTTGAATGAACTTATGTCTCAAACTCGACTTCAATCTCAGATCAATAGTTCACAAAACAGCGCGGGTTACGTTTTAGATGATCAAACAAAAGCTGAAATAAAACTTGTAAGTAAAACAGTGAAATTTATTACTATTATTATTATTTTTTTTTTCCCTTACTAAATATTATGTAAAAGAAATTTTGTTTCCAATTTCTCATCTGAACCTACACTTGTTTCTAGCACCTTGCTCAGCAACAAAATGGATTGTTAAATCTTATTTCGATTATTAAAGATGACTTTGAAGATTTGAAGATCATTGAAAATGGAATACTCGATGCTTACATACCTCGGCGCTAATTTTTGCTTTAAAGAGGTATGGATAGACGGATATAATAAATCCTAATGACTAAAACTATGGTTTAATGTGGTTTCACTTACTGATATAATTCACTTCCTAATATAAAACCTAATAATGCTTGAGATATTGTTGCGGACATCGAAAATGCATTGCTTCAAAAAATTACAGAATTTTTTAAAAAAAAGTGATATGTAATTATTTCAGAGAAATGTGAAACATATTTATGAATATCTTATTAATCCTCGTCATTAAAAGAAAAATTCCAAATTTTCATGTAAACTTTTTCTTGAAATTTTTCTATGGTTGTTAATTGTATTTATACGAAATAAAACTAGACAAACTTTTAATAATTTCTTACTTAGCTTTAACTTGTGTACTGTGCAACCGAATAAATCGAATGATTGAATGTCGTCATCGATATTCATATGTTTATCTTAAAAGTTTTAGAGCTCAAGCTACTTCGGGAAGATAAAAAAAATTAACATTATTTGAACTTCTCAACTTAAATAAAACTCTTAAAGTTTAGGATAAACATTTTTTGATATGGTATTCTTTTTCTTTTTTTTTTTTGCTTGTTTTTATTTGAGAATGGCGACTTTTACCGTCACTCTGAGAATAATATTAAAATTGTGGTAATGCTGTGATCGAGTATTGGTAAGTATTTAATGTAGAAAATCTGATCTGATTATGTATTATTATTAGAAAAACAATTTAATTTGTGCTAGTGAAATTTTATATGAAGTTTCAGTAAGTTTTTATAATTAAATTTCAAGAAATGCGGTGAGTTTTTAAATTAAGTTTCAAAAAATGCGGTGATGCATAAACTTTTGCAGTAATATGGTGAGAGTAGGCAGGGCCGTCCCGAGGAGGGGGGAGGCGTATAGGGGTGTCTAGCCCCCCTACGAATTTTTTTAGTCGGTAAAATTGGATTTATAGTTGGCAGTCGGTAAATTCCGGAAATCGAGGACTTTTTTTTTTTTAGATAAGTTAGGGATCGTCCATGAAGTACGTACGCTCGGAGGAGGAGAGGGGGCCTGCAAATGACGTAATAAGATGTGATGGCAGTGGATTAATTATAAAAGAAAGAAAACACTAATTTTAAAAAAATATCATAAAATGTGAAATAAATTGGTTAAAATCTAAGGTACTTTTAGGGAGGTGAAGGATACTCAAAAAAGCGTATTGCAAAATGCAGGGAGGGGGGGGGTGGACGAAAAAAAAGCGTACGTACTTTATGGACAACCCCTTATTGGGCAAAGAAAATTTTTTGGCTTTAGTCGGTAAAAAACAGACACGCCAGCCCCCCTTTAAAATCTCTTCGGGATGGTATGTAGGAATTAATATGGAAGAAGAAACACTATCCTCATTAATATGGTAGTATTAGGGACAACATTCTGGTTAATAGCACGATCATGAAGTTCAATCATTGAAGAATAGAAAACGTTTTACCGTGTCACTCATTAGTTATCTCCTCCAGTAAAAGATGCACGAAAGCAATGCAATTTTTAAAAATGTGTTACCAGTGATATTTTTGTTCGGAAAATAATTTTAGTTTTAGTTTTTATTCAGTTTAGAGGCAAAGTTTTTAGTTCTAGTTCTTATTCAGTTCAGTAAATAAATTTAGTTCTAGTTTTTATTCAGTTCATCTTAAAATAATTTAGTTCAATTTTCGTTTGTCGTATAAATTTTTTATCTCATCTAATTATAATTTAGTATAATTTATAAATAATATAGGCATATATAATTAAAAGAAGTAAGTCTTAGTTCTATAAACAAACAAAAAAATGAGAACTTAATTAAATGTAATACACCCAGTCCCATGGCTAGAAGTTCAGAGCCCCGCCCACCGCCCTTAATAAAAAACGCAACAACAACCTGTCCTTATTGCTCTAAAACTTAAAAAAATTTCAATTATTAGGTATAAAAAAAACTCCTCAAATTTGGTAACAATAAAAACTAATGAATAGTTATTGTATAGACTTTAATAATTACTCATATATTTTACAAATAAAAGGCCTAGTGATTATATGATTATCATCTATACTAGATGAGAATTTAGTTTTAAGAAAACTCGCATTTCCAATGACGCTGACATTCGATTTCTCCGTCCATTTGTGAGCAAGCCACAGATTGAAAAAAGTCTTTCAACATATGCTTGAGTTGCAGGAGCTGCAATGAGGTCTTCAGCTAATGGTGCAATATGTGGGTAAACAGCACGTCTCATCTTCCAGAAATTTAAAGCATTTTGGCACATAGAGCTGTTCCTTATTTCAATAAAATATTTGTTGAGCTCATTTTGTGCTTCATTACCTGGAATAAGCTTTATTTTTTCTACTCGCTGTTTTGCCGCTAAAAATTTCCATTTTGTTAATCCATTTATTTCTGAAGCAATCTCAACAGAAAGAGTAGATGCACTTGCTAAAGGTAAATCATGTTGCACCGATTTTTTAGCCTCTGACAAAATGTATTTCTTTGCACACTCTCTGATTTGTGTATGCTCATTACCTAAAAGAGCTATTGCACATGTGGGGTCAAGTAGACATGCGGCACATGGCAGTGGATTAAAATTAGGATCGTTTGGCTGCAAAAGAACGGCAAAACGACGGCGTAGATCTTCAAGCATTTTAACTGCTACATCTTTGGCATCTCCAAATTGCTCAAGGTGACATTCTAAATTGAGTATTGAAGGTATAACACTGGATAGTGAAAGTGCATCCGTCTGAAGAATATTAGTTTCATTGGCAAAAGGTTCTAAAAGATTGACAAAATCCTGAAGCATTATCCATTCGCTATTGGCAAGTGAATCAATGTTAAGGTCTCCAAGCACTTCGTTGATAGATGTCTTTATTTCCAGAAATCTCCGAACCATAAAGTAAGTGCTGTTCCATCTTGTAGAACAGTCGCTGATCACAGTCTTACCACATTTGTTGATAATTTTTTCCAATGCAACAGAAGATTTGCGAATTTTTCCCACTAATCCACGTACCTTCAAAAGTAAGCCATGATATTTATCATCATATGCAAGTTTTACAACTAGCTGTATAACATGTGCAATGCATCCCAATCTTCTAAATGCTACGTTTTCTATTACATCAACTATCAAGTCAACATGTTCCCACTCTTCACTATTTGTCATATTCTCATCGTCTTCCAGATCTGTTATCTGCTCTTCATTAACCTCACTTTCTAATTCAATAAGTATATCACGTTCAGCTTGAGCTTTCATTCTCGACAACTTTATGCCTTTGACCATGTTTGCTCCATTGTCCGAAATAACAAGCAATATTTTTTCTCTGGAAATATTCCAATATTTTAGGCATTTTTCAAAACAATTAGCAATTTGTTCACCTGTATGTGGATGTTTCACAAGATACAAATTAAGCAGAGCATGTATTGGTTTTTCGGATTTGAAGTGAAAAAAACAAACCGAAATTCCTAAAAAGGACGCAGTAAGACCTTTTTTAGTCCAGCCATCAAGGCATATTGTGAAGCGCCTGCCTTCAGATATGAAGTCACGAAGTTTTCTCGTTAAAACAGTAAATTCTTCATTAAGTAGGCTAGTAATTTTGGCAGAAGCAGGCAATGAAAATTTATAATCCAAGGTATTAACTAACTTTCTAAAACTCGCATTATCCACCAATGTCACTGGATTACATGTTGCAATTATCATTTGAATAAGAGAGTTTAGTCGAATTTTATGCTCGTGTGAATTAATAGGCCATGCGGTATTCCTAAGATTAATGCATTGAATCAAGGTCTGGTTCTGATTTGAGGATGATTCTAAAAGAGTGGGTCCATTTTCATCCACTGCTTTTCTCTTTATCCCTGTTTGCTTTTTTTCACTTAATTTCTTTAATTCCGACTATTCCAGCTCAACGTGTACAGACTTATGGTTTCTTGCTAAATGTAGCTAGAAAAAAATAAACATATTTATATAATTTTTTGTTTGTATATTTATATGTTTATTTATCTATCTGTTTATCAATTAATGTATAAATAAGTTCGTATACGTTATTGAATAATTACTCTAAAATGATAAAAATGAGTCGTTTGTTTCAAAATGAAAACATATCCTCTAACAGATAAACTAACTTTAAGATTTGTTGGGTTCTTTCCACACAACTTTGGATTGCATACTTTTTCACCATCAAGTAAAACTAAACATACTGATTTGTCGGATGACGCATCGTATTTAAACCATTTCCATACTGAACTATTCCTCTTCCTACCAGCAAAAAGTTTACTCAAACTCATCGCGTAGTTGTGTTGGTCTTACAGTTTGATTTTTTTTAGTTCGAAAAAATATATTTGAATAAATATATTCGAACTATATCATAACTAAACTTATTCGAACTTAATTGAATAAAATTCAATTAAGTTCGAAAAATATCAGGAAATATCACGAAAATATCACTGCGTGTTACCAAAAACTTTTGAGATCAACTTTTTTTTCCAGCTGAGTAGACTTGCTCCCAGTTAAATGAATGGATTATACACCGTCATAACTAATGTCGAGACGTAACCAAAAGACTTGTGAAAGTTGAAGAAAACTGGATTTTACAGGAAGATTTAGTTTTGTACAAAATTTTATATATATAAAGAAGAATTAGTTTTTATTTTCTATTATTAACAAAAAAAAAATCACTCTACTTTAAATATATGAATTTTCATTCAAAACCAAATTTTTTTTATTCCCTACTAAAAGTAGTTTAAAAAAAAATTGACGCATCTAAATAAGTTTTTAAAATGCTTACAAGTTTAACATGGTTTTAAATTGCTTATTGTTTACTTATTTAAAGTTCTAATTGATTTTTGGGTTACAATTTTTTGCCTGAAATGATGTCCGAATCAAACTTAAAAGAATTGGGGATTAAATTTTAGTCGTAATAAGTATTAAATTACAGTTCTTTGCTTCCAACTCAATTTATAGACAATTTCTGAATTGTATGAAGAGCAGTAAATAAATTATTTAATTTTGAACTTGGAATTTAACATGTTTATAATTTTTGCATATTTTGACTTTTTTCTTTTGTAAAAGATAACGTTGCAGAGCGTGGTATAAACGTATTAAGTTGAACATTCACAATAAAATATTCAAGTATTTTTAAAAATATTTAAATATTCATATCGCATATAAATGTAAAATAGTAAAAAAAACACAGCAATAACATATAAAAACAAATTCAACAACATACTACCTAACCCTTTTTTAACCATCATTAGCATTAACCTAAAAACTAAGTTGAATTTGCATTTCCCCCTTAAATTGAAAAAAACTATTAGAATGTTAATAAACTTAAGTTCGATTTTTCTTTTTAATGAAGTTTAAACTAATATTCTCGTAAGTAGTAATTTATTTAATAAAAAGTTAAAATGTGGAACAGTCAAGTGATTATTTTTTTTTCAAAAATTATTTTGCTAGTTGACCAAATGCAGCGACTAATTGCACCAAGTATGTTTTTTTTTTTTGTTTTTTTTGTTTTAATTACAACAACAACTATAACTATAATATTTTTTACCATACAGTAGAAATAATTTATTTAAAAACAAAATCGGTGTGGTGGAATAATGTCGCAAAATTTAGAATTCCTCGATGAGTAATTTTTTAATTGTCAAAAAATAGAATAAGGATGTCGTAAATGATTTTAATGAATGGTGTCTAAAACAAAGAAAAAACATCGACTGACTTAAATAGGTAGAACATGCAGGGAGTGCACATTCATTGATTGACTTAAATAGGTAAAACATGCAGAGAGACTACATAGTTCGCCTGATAAAATAGGTAGAACATACTGGAAGAGAACATACATCGACTGAAAGTTTTGTTTGGAGCAGGCAATCTATTAATTAAATATATCAAGTAAACAAATATGGTTGTGACACTATTCCTTTTTCACTATTCGCAACATTTAGCCATTTTAATATATTGGAAACTATTCCAAGGTACATTTTTTTGACACAAATTCTAATACCAACAAAAGTTACCAGAAACAAGCTTTTTCCAGCGCCGACGAGTTTCGAAGTGGAGAAACACAATCGTCAATTTCTAAAAAAATAGTCCTCTATATCTAGTAACTTCTAAATTAAAAAAAAAAGAATGCAGTCCTTTAAAAAAATTGTGATTAGAGGAGAGGGGGGGGGGCAACTATATGTTATTGTCCCCTCTCCCCACCTACATATTTTAATTATCTTCTTTATAATCGAATTACAATTTAAATATTAATTGCAATTAAATATATATAAAATTATAAACTAAAAGTTAAATACTAGCCTCTCAAATTGAAGGGGCTTTAAACTTTAGATGGTCATAATTTATGAACACTGAGGGATAATAATGCGAAACTTAAAATTTATCGATAAATATAAGTCTAGTTGAAAATAGTACTAAAAATATTTTATCAAATTTTATCAACATGTTGCTCCTTGCCTTTGGGGTGGGGAGGAAGGGGAAATGAAGTTAAAAGGCTTTTTCGTTCCCAGCCTCTAATCATCAGAATTTTTTGCAAAGCATCATTATTTGACATAAGTATAAACATACAAATGTTTGGAATTTGCTCCATGTCTCAAAGTTAGCTATCTCAAACACCAAATCTGATATATTTATAAAAAGATGAGTAATTGAATGAAAGTTCACACCACAGCAAAACCTCTTCAATCGATTTGCATGACCTCATTTCCTACCTTCCAAAAAGTTTATGATTATTGTTTAGAATTTTTGTAATAGTTTTACAACTAATGCCTAGTGGGCCAGAATTATCTAAAAATGGCAAAATCAATTTATGGGTTAAATACAAACAAACAATACTTGTTTATAGTGGTTTTTTAGGCCTAGGATTTCATTTTTGGGCTCCATTTTAATTTTGGAGAAATCACACAAGTTGTTATTTTAGGGATTGTCAAGAGTAGTAATGGGGTGTAATAATGGTTTTTAAATTAGATAGGACATGTTGTATATTTAAATATAGGTAGCTACGGTCAGGGAATTCAAATCTGGGTATATTCGGTCTTTAGAAGTGGTCATGATTGCTCAAATGGTCATTTCAGTGGTGGTCAAGGATGGTCCTGAGATGTCTTGATGTTTTTCAATTAGATGGGGCATGTTGTATATCTAAATATAGATAATTGCGGTCAAGGAATTTGAGACTGGGCATATTCGGGCATATTCTTCAAGAGTGGTGATGACCGCTAAGGTGGTCATTTTGGGGGTGGTCAAGGGTGGTCCTGGATAATCTTAAGCTTTAAAACATTTTCATCATAAAGTTAAAGTTTGTTTGAGGCATGTAGAATTTGATTGTGTAGTACTCTCTGTTGTTTTAGTCTAAAACTATTTTTCACAATTAATTTACTGTTTTTTCATTTTATGGGCGTTATTTGAAAGAACAAAATACATTTGACGCATTTAAAATACAATTTTCTAGATGAAAACGGCATTTTAGAAAAGATATTTAGACGACATTAAAACTAAAAGTACTAGATGGTATAGTTTTCTCGCTTTCACAACGAGAAATTAAAAATCTTTTTTTCTCATAAACAAACTAATTTTTCTTTAATAAACTAAATTCTTCTTTTTACATAAATAAAAACTTTTTGCATAAATACAAATAATAAATATTCTCTTTAGTGACGGATCCAGCCTTTTTTGGTGTTTGAGGTAGCTAACTTCCAGACATGGAGCAACTCCAAACATTTGTATGTTTACACTTATGTCTTATATGATTCGAGGTTGGGAACAAATAAGTTCCAAAATTTCATCCCCCCTCACCCCAAACGTGCGGGCAAAAAGTTGATAAAATATTTTTAGTACTATTTTACTTGACTTATATTCATCGAAAAATTTTAAGTTTCATAGTATTATCTTTCAGCGTTCAAAAATTATAACCTTATAAAGTTTAAACTCTCATTTTGAGCGGATTACAAATCTTATATGGTCAGGGCCTAATCTAGGAAAAAAACTTTGACGGCGGTACCCTTCGTTTCGGCAGACTTTAGCGGAAAATAGGCGTTTTTTTCGCAAAAAAAAACCAATATTTGCCGTAAAAACATAAAAAAAAAAAGGTCCTCAAATTTTAATTTGGGCGGCGCCCGAATACGGTCGACGATGTCAAAAACGGTCTAGAATAACCTTTTATGATAAAGGTAGGTGTTAAAAAAAAATGTTGTGCACTTTAAAGGGTTTTATTGAAAAACACTTTGAAAAAAAGCAAGCATAAAAAATAAATTTTCATTTTTCTTTTTCTTATTTCAATATATGATGTCAATGGACTAATATAAACTGTTAAGAAATTAAAATGACATAAAATTGCCAAGCTGGCCCCATATTTCATTTTTATATGACTTTTTACATTTTCACCAATTTATAAAAGGTATAGTATTGCCATTTTTGCGATAAAATCACAGAAAAGAAAAAATTCTATCAGTTTTAGAGTGGTGGGAGTCTCTAGATTACATTTACAAAAAGAAATTACTCAAATATAAACTTGATTTTCAAAAGTTTTGCTTACCTCTGGCCCACTGTGTAACGGATGCCTGATGGTGCAAAATTTAAAAATGCAAAAAAATAAACAAATGTTGTTCAACCCACATCACTACCAAGAAATAAAAATAAATAAAATTATAGAATTTTATTTATATTTAATATAAATATTCTTGATCTATATATACTTTTAGGTGTTGTAGAACAAATTTTGAGAGGTCGATCAAAGTTTGTTTAAAAACAAGAAGTGTAGGTTATAGTTTGGTAACCAATATACCTACAATAAACAACTGCATAGTATCATTTTAAGGGCAGCATCTTTTGGAAAGCAACGCTTGCAATAACTTGCTTAAAAAAGACAGCTTAAAGCTGATTTTACATTGTTGTAAAAAACTGCTTAAAAAACAATTATATTGTTTTTTACGTTGAGTCCATTGTCGACGATCCCGGGGCATATAGGTACACTTAAAAAACAGATGCTAGTAGCGAATAAACTAATCGTAATTAACACTATTTTTATATATGTTTGATATATTAAACCCCCCTCAATTTTAGGAGGTTGCAAATTTTATATGGTCATAACTTTTGAGCACTAAAATATTTTACAATTAAATTTATAATTTCACGATGAATATAAGTCTAGTTGAAAATAGTACAAAAAATATTTCATCAACTTGTTGCTCTCACGTTTGGGGTATATGGCTAAGATTTTAGGATTTCTTGTTCCCATTCTTCTATCACAGTAATTTTTTTTTTTTAAGAATCTTTTCGTCATACATATGAACGTAAAAAAATTTGGAATATTCTTGTTGTTTATAAGTTGGTTATTTTAAACATTTAAAAACTTTCCTACGCCACTGGATATAAGAAAACTAAAAAATAAAAAAAAACAATTTCAAAAAATAAGCTGCGACAACCAAAATAACAAAACTTAGACTAGCAAAATTTTCACATTTTGCAAGTGGGTGTGGCAAATCGGGGCAGGTAAAGAGCAGCATTCTTTGATTGTAAAGCTTTTAAAATTATAAAAATGTAGGCTATCATTTAAACATGTTCAGACATTAAATTCTTAAAAAGTAAAATATTTATATAAAGTAAACACCCATACACCCAAACACCACAAAAAAGAAATAACAATTAGAATAATTTTTTTTTGTGTGTTTTGTTATTAAGTAACGTAAAAGGGGTGACTTTGATAATGGAGGTGGCTTTGATAATTTCGCCTGTTAGTTACAAAAGTATTGGCCTTAAAATGTAATTGCAAAATAAACAATCAATTCTTTATTTTTCCTGTTATATAATTATATTCTCGATGCTCGACATTGCAGACATTGGCATATTGCTAATAAGCCATTATTAGCAATATGCCAATGTCTGCGTATATTTAAACAAACAAAAACAAAAATTAAAGAAAAAATATTATGGTTCACATAAATCACGCAAAAAATATTATGAAACTATTTGGCAACATTTTTGACGAACTGGCTTGACATGTGCTGATATTACTAATAAGCCATTATTAGCAATATGGTAATGTCGAGCATAATTATATATGCCATACGCTGAAATTATTACTATTCAAAAAGTTCAATTCAAGATATATTTTTAAACCGGATTAATTTCCGTAGTATAATAACTCATAAACAATCAAAAATAAACAAGTTATATTTAAGTGTGCAAGTTTTACAAGTTTTCATAAATACCAGTAGTTTAAAAAATGTGTAAAACTCGCATAAGACTTAAGTCTTATCATTTAGAACAGCTGTGTAGCATGTTTTCACTATATATGGTTTTATTTCATAGAGATCATAAAAAATTTGAAGGACATTGTTAAAATTTACTTTTGTACATAAGACATAAAATTTTATATAACCAATAAACACACAAACGTCTATTAAAGGTCAAAATAACGTTTCGACAAAACGTTTAGATTTGGTCGATTATCCGTTTAGAATGAAATCCAGATTAACTTTTAGAGCAAACGTTCATAAAACGTCTATATTCAAACGAATTTTAGACGTCTATTACAGAATTATTATACGTATATAAAGCGTTAAGATTTGGCTTAATTTACGTTTAAATCTAGTCTAAATAATGTATATTAACGTTTATAAATAACGTATAAACACGGTCGTTTAGATGTGGAAAGTTATTATACGCAAGCGCAGTGTCAAATTCAAATATTATAATTTTAAAGATGGTGACGGCCTTTAGATACCAAAATTTTTTTCAAAAAATTCAATTTTTTTCTGAACAAAAATAGAATTCACCCAACACTACTTTTGTATATATATATATATATATATATAATATATATATATATATATATATATATATATATATATATATATATATATATATATCTTTTAATCTTGAAAAAAAATTGAATACTAATATCAGTAAACATTCTAAGAAAGATCAACAGTTCATCTATCTGAAAAAGTTAAAATTTAAAATTTTCTACGCTCAA